ATATATATATATATATAATTATATATATATATATATATATATATATATATATTATTTGGACGTGAGCGTGCCAAGGAGTCAAACAAGGAAGGAGTCCTACGGGTAGGAGCGTTTTGTACAAACGTCGCGGTAAATCTATGTTGGGCATTTGAAAAATCCGACAGTTCGAACCACCGTCGCTCGAGGAATCGCGTTACTTATTGCTAATGTGACTGCGACTACGGTCGAGAGACGCTGCTCAGCGCTTCGACGAACGCGCTTTTCATAAAGTGGAAACGCCGTCGCACATGAACATCCGCTGTTCAAACCACGCCTCTCTCTCGCGAGAATGCGAATCCTTTGGATCAAGACGAATCAATTTTAAATAGCGACGTGATATCGATCTGCCTCGCGCGCTGAGCCGCTCGCTCGCTCGCGAGTAACGAGGAGAAATAGAGGACGAGAAAGGAGGAGGAGAAGACGCTCGAGGAGATGAGACTCAAAGTTTGCCGGGTGACTCCCCTGCGGATTATACGAAGTTACACTCGTTTGGTCCTTGGCACGATCGGCTAACGCGCTCGCCGTGCCTAAATAGAGTAGCGCACTCGAGCGGTCGAGGAGTGTCGCGCTCGATGAATTCTTATAACAAGACGAGTATTTCATTTCAGGTATTTCAAGATTTATACAATATGTACACCTCGACTAGAACAAGACACCTCGTAATATATGCGCAGTATGTAAACTGCTGTGACTCTCGATGATTGGTGATAGTGTGGTGGTGATGGTGGTAGTAGTGATGGTAATGGCGGATGTGGTGCTATTGCCGTTCGACCTTTGAATTTCCTTCGCGCGCGCTCGCACGGGAAGGCAGATAATGACTGGCACGGTTTCCTCTCCTCGGCTCGAAGCCACGGGACGACCGCGGGGAAGAGTTTCTCTCGTCGGCCGAGACCTGTCGACGACGATGACGATGATGATGACGAGACCCGTAAGTGTGTGTGTGTACGTCCATTCGCAGACGTGCTCCTCCGCCTCCGGCGAGACACCACCAGAGGGGATTCCTTCTGCTTTGCCCGCTTTGCCGTTGTCCTGGCAGTCCTACACCGGGCAGATTAACAGCTGATACTCGAACATCAGCGAGACGGCGACGAAGACGAAGTAGAGGATGAACATCGTGAAGCCGAGACCCTTGTTCATTTGCCACTTAAAGCAGGCGATGCTCATGATCACGAACAGCAGCATGCAGAACAGTATCGCTATACTGCACACCATGCCTACCGAGTTCACCTCCACGGGTTTCCCGTAGATCAAGCCGTACAGGAGCCATGGAACCGGAAGCCTGCGGGCAGAAGCAAAACGCAAATCGAGTCGACTGTTTGACTGACTGATTTGCCGCTGCAAGTATCATTATCCCTTCCTGCTATACTTCAAATTTCCAAAATCACGCATTCCTCTCAGCTCGAGAACAATTGCCGCTCTGTAAGAACGAGAGATTCGTGACAGTTGCAGCAACGTGAAATATTACGTGGAACTAGTGTCCAATACCGTCAGTGGTTTCTCGTAGATTGCACCCAAAAATATAATCTTATCTCCAGCAATATCCTCTCATGCAAGGCTCGTGAGCCAGTAACTGTTGTCACCTGAAATATCTTCAAAGCAAAAAACAAAAGTGATCTTCGAAAAACGTTCTTACCATTAGACGCTTTTTTCCAAGTAGAATAACTTCAAAGATCTCTGAAGATCAACTTTTTTTGTTTCAAAGCCTTAAGAAGATTCTTCTAAAACCAAAGGTAAAATATTTTCAAAGTTAGAACTTTATCTACAGTACTTCTTATCTAAAGTACAAGTCTTGTTCTCCAAATTTCTTCTAGTAAGAAAGCATTGTGCTTCAAATAAACATATTTTTTTGTAGATTCAGAAAGAAAAAGTTTAGGGTAATATCTACTATATTTCTAATTATAATATCTAATATATTTCTATATTAATAATTCACTTGATTAGAAAAGGAATACTCTTTCGGTAAGAGTTTTTGCTTAGAATATGAGATTACTGGAAATAGCAGCTTGCAACAAGAATTCTTTCTTTAGGTACTAGAATATTTTCCTTTTGGTTTCAGAAGAATTCTTTTGAGGCTATATATGAGAAAATTCCACTAAGAATAAGATTATATTTTCTAGGATGTGCTATATCGAGAACTGTTTAATCGAATACATATTTCATTACTTGTCATATTGAATCCTTCTTCCAGTTTGTTCTTTAATTTAAAAGCCTCGAAATTGAAACACCTTAAAAGCACCTCTAAACATCTTCCTTGTTTAGCGCAGTGATGTCGTGTCTTGTCCGGAATTATACTATGCTCCGATCATCGACTCTAATTCCGTGGAAACCCGCGTATCCATTATTTCCTCATAAGACTCGTGAAATATGACAAGTGCTCTTGACAAAATCTTCTCAGTTCTATGTATTCGCATTTATATTATAGACTCCACCCTTGTGGCTTCATGATTACAAGCGAAACGGAATCATCTATCGCATCGACCCGCTGCAAACGCGGGTGGGTTGCACTATTCTATACACACATATATATATATGTATTATATACATATATGTATATGAAATATAGTATCTATAATTCATGCGTTTGCCCGTAACAATGCTGCCGACATGCCTTGAATATACCGTGTATCCTTTGACGCGCAGTTGCAAGCCCCGTACGCGCAAAAATACGGAGAAATATTTCTCCGCTTCCTTGCCAGGCAGCCTGCCAGTTGGCAACCGATCAGCGGATGCGTGGACGGTGATCGATCATTGATCGGCAATGCCGCACAATTGCGCATTTTTATTAAACGCAGTGGAGAAAAACACGCCGGTTTGACGGCTCTCGGGCGGCTAGAGACCTTTCCGCGGCGGGAGTAAGTCGTGCCCGGAACAGTATTCGCGGCATTTCCCACGCCAACAATATAATAATGCCGGGAAACGAATAGCGAATGCGATTACGGTGAAATAGCGAGAATGCCTCGATGGGTCGGTCCCGGCTACCAATACCGCACGCCTCTTCCAACCTCGTCCGATCTCGTCGGCAAAATTCCGATTCGTAGCGCACACGCGTAGCATACATTATGAGAAAGAGCATACGTACGTATATACGCACACTCATATGTATATGTATGTAGAACACAAAATTCCTCTACCATTTTGCAAACAACCATATGAAAAATTAAAGTTATTAATTTTGAATTATTAATTAAACAAGATTAGTGAATTATCGCATTATACAATGCAGGATACGACTGTAAGTATGATTTCCGTTCTATGTACGTTAAGTCAAATTGAACAAAAAAGTTCTCTATCATTTCGGAAATAATCATGTGAATTTCTGAGTTATTAATTAATTAAAAAATTAATTAAAAGATATTCCCAATATATATATATATATATATATATATATATATATATATATACGAAACGTCTAGACTTTATTGAGAATAAATGATTGTATAAACACATCCTAAATCTAGATTTTGTTATGGCACTGAGTAATCTGTGCTTCTTGACTTTTATTGACATTTTTTTTATTAATTAAAGAAAATTGACGATCGCGCGCAATCATTCGCCAAAACTAATAACTCAAAAATCTACGTGGTTATATGTGCAAAATGGTAGAAGATATTTTTATTTAGTTTGTCTCATGAACAAAAACACAGTGGAAATCGCACTTACTGTCACATCCTGTACCGCATTGCGCGCAATGAGAATTACTGATCTTCTTTAATTAATAGCTCAAATTTTTATGTGGTTATTTGCAAAATGATAAAGTAATTTTATGTTTTCAGTTTGACCTAATCTACGTGCACACGTGCGTTTTCCCACCTATCGTCAGCACGTATATATACAGTACGTATCTGACAATTCTTGACACATTCATTGTGTGCATGTATAAAACTCATTAAACTGAAGACAAAATTCTTCTATTATTTCGTAAACAACCAAAATGTTGAGTTATTAATTAATTAAAATTGGAGCATTATCGCGCACAATCACAGCCAATTTTCTTTAATTAATAACTAAAAATCTACGTGGTTATTTGAAAAATGATACAGGAATCTTTTGTTTAATTTTATCTAATGTACAAGCACACGGCCGTAAATGTCGCCATTGTAGCTCCAAACGCGTATGTCTATGATTGTCAAACATTCTGTATATACACGTATATACACAATTCCTATTATACTAATGTCAACATACTCACATATATATGTTAAAAAATGTATAAACATATATACATAATTATGATAATTATTATATTATTATTATTATATATGTTTATTTTAACATACATATGTGTGAGTATGTTGACATTAGTATAATACAAATCCTGTACATATATATTACACAATTAAATGCATTGTGTTCGCGCACGTGCAGGAGAGCCCAATGATTCCGACATTGTTCGACTCGTCTATTGAACTCCACTATGCCGTTGATATATCTTACGAGCCGTAATCGTTCCTGCCTCCTATCAATTTCCGTTTTCTGAGGATCTCGTCGGCACTGCTGACATTGTCCGTATGGCATCGGGAAAGCTCCCCGCAATACTCGATACATCGAGCGCAAGGATTACGAAATAATATCGCGCGTCTTGCGAGAGTCTCGCAAATGGTATCGTATCCTTTTTGCGGACGCTCGTTCGTGCTGTTTCGATTGTAGAAAGGCGTCGCCTTTCGGGAACGTTGAGATCCAAGAGCGTTGAATGGATTTTGGTCTGATTTGTTGCCAAAGCACACCGTGCGATATAGACACATCGGAAGGTAACATTCAATTATGCGCCTAATAATCCGGATCGCGCGCGAATGTATCTTCGAAGCGAATGCATATTTGAAGGTGAGCTAAGTAAGTGCTTCATTCAGCGCAACATCGATACATAACTGCACCAACCATTGGCCGCGCATACACTCCGGAGTGTACAATATGAATAACAATGGCATCGTTTCTTCCCCCGGTAATGCAAGCGGAGTATCGCGATGGGCGCGCGCCCCTCATGTTTGGCGGACGGGAACGAGAGAACAAATGGCAGACGATGAAGAACGGCGCTCGCGTATTTTATTAATAACATTAACTCATGGACCGAAAATTCAGGCAGATCGAACACGATCCAGTGAGAACGTTACTTTTCCATTGTGAAACAATCCCGCTGTGCTTTGATAATAGCAATATTACAAATTGTTAAATGCGGCGTGAATCGACCGATTGTACTCTCTTAAAGTGATTCAGCAAAAGTGTTTTTGTTTCAATTAGTTTGGAGGATTATTTCACTGATGATCAGTGAGCATTCATTGATTTTCAGTGAAAACACTCCCACTTTACTGCTCCGTCTCATTTTTCACTGTTTTTCATTGATTTTTAGTACTAGTAGAAGTACATGAAGGAAATATTGTGATAAAAATTACGTTAAAATATATTTCGTTTTACAATATTTTTTATGAAACTGAACTGTACTGAAATTGTAATATACTTTATTACAGAAATAATATAAAATAAAAAACATAAGTAATTACAATAATTTTGTAGTAAAAAGCTAAACGTGCATAATATTGTTAAACAAATATATAGTAACTTTAGGTATAATTCTGTATGATCCAAGAACCACAAAAATTCTGTTGCTATTTTGTTTACAATATTTTCTCCATGTAGGATCTCATTGCAAGGTCTGCCATATACAAATTTGTTACATTTTATGTCTAATCCAACATTCTGCATTTGACGATAGAATTAACGATTTCCATGTACTTTGCATGCAATGATATTGTCCGTATTCACAAAGTACATTAATAGTAGAAATAGTCATTACTATTAACACTAGAATCCCCTTTGACCGAAAGAGTTATTTTGACTCGTTGCGTCTCTAATATTTTAAAATTCTCTCTGTTCCTCATTACTCGTACTAATAATTTCTGAACATGCTAAGAGAATATAATTTGCAAAATATTGACATTTTATATTGTAAATAAATTATAAGATTTTTCATAATTTTTTCAAACCTATAATTTTTTATAACAAGATGTATTATAATTATTACTTACTTGCTCTTTATATTTAGTAAAAATAGACAAGTGTACGGACAGAAAAAATAAAATAAAACCCAATCGAAATTTAAAAAACTAAAATCTCAAATAAAAGTTTGTATATTGTTTTTATAATAATGATACTGACAATTAAATAAAAAGTAAAAATGACACTCTTTTGAGTGTTTAAAATAAATTATAAAATAATTCGTCACGATATCATCAATGTCTACTTTTTTAATATATTCTACTTTAAAAATAATTAAAAATCACGCGCGCACGAGGTGTTTTTTTCCTTAACTTCAAGAAACATAAATAGTAACAAAAAGAAGACTAGAAAACAATCAAAATGACTCTGCACACAGAAAATGATTGCATTCGAGTAAATATTATTTGTTTTAAATATTTCATAAATTTATATATTCGCAAATCTATCATCACAAGCATCAAATTTGTTCAAAATATATACTAAATCTTAATTGGTTCAGTATTTTAATCAAGAATATTAAGTTAAAATATTAAGTTAAAATAAAAATTCGGTTTGATAACTTAAATAGTAAGTCGAACCACAAAATTTTTCCTTCAATAACGTTTTATGTTCTTGTAAAGAAAATAAATTATTAATTTGAGTACATAATAATGGGTTTCTTTAAAATTTGTGATGTTTTGAGATTATTATCAAGAAAGTATTTTTTACTAAAGATAATCATTATTCAAAAAAAGAAAAGTAAACTGAATATGATCGCCTTTTTAGCGGTAGAATAGTATTTTTCTCTGTATAATAATTGCTCTTTTCAGCGAAATTTCAGTGCTATACTTCCAAATGAAACGCTAGTTATGAGTACAGTATTTCAGTGAAGAATACACTGATTGTACTTTAGAGAGTATTTTCTTGCTCGAAACGTTATCCTAGGAACGCTGTTTGCTTCGTTCCGTCCGAGTGATTAACGTTACCGAAATTCGAGATTGATATCGCTCCCGGCCTTTTTGGCACTTAGCTCTCCTCGTTAATCGATCTCTCAATATAGCGTGACGTAAATGAGTTTGAGATCAAAAATAAAGAAAACAGCGGTCGCTTTCGGGAGCGTATTAAATTTCGCGACGCTCCACTTTATACTTTAGCGCGTTTAGATGACAGAAGAGCGATTTAAAAATCTTTGTTCATTTAAGGAATGTCGATGTTCCGAAGTATATCTTATGAGACATTCACGAATGTTTATTCCACAGCATTTCTTCTTGCACCGTTATCTACGTCACTTGGCTCACGCACGCTAATCTGTGCTCTGCATTTCTTCTCTTTTTTATCTTTCCTCGAGACTCGAGATAATCCAGCCAGAAAATCAATATGATGTTCCGCGCTTTCTGGAAATGCTCCCCTATATTTCGTATTTTTCTACATTTCTTATCTATATGGAGTCTAGCAATCTCATTTCGTCCATATCGAGCTGTAATGCGAAACTGTATTCGCATATAAGATCAACGAGACACACGTTGCTGCAACACGGTATCGCGTGGCAGAAAGTGGCGACTGTAAAGGTACGATTTCTCGCCTGATAGTGCTTATCCGTCACTTTTCTTTTAACACGTATCCCGCCGTTGCAGTGTTATACCAATAAAATATTACTTCTCGGGATCACTCTTAGCGCGACCCAGAATATCCTTCAGCTTCGCGCTGTTCGCGTTTTTTGTATGGCGCGAGCACGGATAAGAATTTTTATCTTCTAAATGGCTCGTAAAGAAACGGGGGAAAAAAGGAAACAGGGAGTACTCCCTTATTGCGAATTGAAACTGTAATATGCCCCATATGAGCGAAGTGAATGACACAATGTCTCGAGTATTCGCGATATGCCCCCCACGTCCAATAGCACTCGATAAACGTAATAAAGCGCTTGGAGCGTATCGTGAGAATCGAAATGAAATATCGATATGGCTATATTAAACAAGCGGGTCGACCGTCTTCCGGGATATCTCGGGGAGCACAGGCGAGACGTCGCATATAATACAGTCGTCACTCTCGCGGCAATACGTCGCAAGGCGCCGCGTTGACGTCGAGATCGTCGTGGTATTGGAAGGTCGGCGTGTATGCTCACCCAACGGTCACGTCGAAGATGTTGCTGCCGACGGAACTCGACACCGCCATATCGCCGTATCCCTTCCGCGCGACGATGACGCTCGTGATGAGGTCCGGTATGCTGGTGCCGGCTGCGAGGAACGTCAGGCCCATCACCTCCGGCGGTATGGCCACTGTGTCACCGGCGACGTTCGCCCACCAGACCATCAGATACGAGTACGCCGCGATCCAGAAGATCGAGCCGATGAACGTCACCGGGAAGAACTTCTTCCCTGAAATTAAACGGATGCGTGGCATCTGTTACGTACAGTGGATTGCAAAACGGTTTAGGCACAATGAAGTTGGAAGGTCACCAAACTATCAAAATTGAGAGTCATTACTCTGTGTGTGTGTGTGTGTCTGTGACGCGGACTCTTACCTAGTAATTGTATTATTAATTATTATTTGTATTATTATTATTTATTATTATTTATATTTCTTATGATATCTTAGATTTTTACGCGGTGAAATGCTTGGTCTGACTTTCAGTTTGGTACCACGTCCTTCCGCGATTTCTTCGTGGATTTGCTTTCAAAGTTTCGTGAACATTACAGTTCACTTCTTCAGGAGATTTTTCGGCAAAGGAACTTGAGATTGTCGCTCTTGCTTAGGGATTCCCTTTATATAGGCATTAGGTGAAGAGAAAAGGATTATAGCACCAGAAGAGAGAAGAAAGTGTAGGTATAGAACTTTTTGGAAATTTCTCAAATTTTATCTAAGGTCTAGGAGGATTGAATTGCCAATTGGACTTGTTTTGAGTCGTCTCTGCTGAGGTTGTTGGGCTATTTATAAATTTCTAGCAATTCTCTGTATTTTTTAGAGAAATAGTGTTGCTTTTAGTTGAAACTGATGTTTGGTCAAACAGAATTTTATATTTTGTTTCTATCTAAAATATCTATATATAATGCTGAGTGTGCTACATGTTTAACCTGATTGCAGATTCATGTTCTTTCAGACGTATGCTGACCATCCTCCTAGTTTCTCCTATGTAGATTTGCCGCATGAGCAAGGAATTTTGAAAAATTCCTAGTGTATTTAGTGGAGTTTCTAGTTCTTTGAGTTGTCGAGGAACTGTCCTATTTTTGTCGTGGATTTGTGGATGATTTTTATGTTATGTTTGTTTAGAATTTATCTCTAGATTTTATCCATGATTCCTTGAATGTGCGTGGAAGGAAGATTGTTGATATTTTTGTGTCGCTTCTCTGTTTCTGTAGATCGATTTGTCTGAATTGTTCTTAATGACACTATTGATCATATTACTATTGCATAAGAGTCTGTCGCGATAATGATTCTCAATTTTAACAGCTCCCAGTTTCATTGCGTTTTATAATCCACTGTACACACACACACACACACACACACACACATACATATATATACACACACGCACACATACCATGCATTGTGCTCTACGTGTCATGGAGATCGCGATTTATTAATCGCGACCGCGTAAGCTCGGCGACACCGATATCGGATATCGCGACGACCCCGTGCGCGCGGTTAATTTCTCCCGTGGGATCGTCGGTGCGCGAAAAGTCATATCGCTCTCTTCCTCCTCCTCTTTTCCGCGACAGCACCGGGATGTTCTTCCGGAATAGAATTATGCAGTCGGGCCACTTGGCGCCAACGTTCTAGTCGGTCGCGTCACCTCGTTCGTGGCTGTAGCTGCAGTTCCCATTAACGGGAGTAGTTTAAGTATGCTAAATGCGCCACGACCGATCGCCACGTCGTTACTGAATCCCTTCTCGTGCAATTATGATCGTGGCGTCTTTGCCGGACGAGAAACAGAACGAGAGTTCCTGTTACCGATTCGTGCCCCGGCTGTATTAGTCTTTTCATCGGAACAGATGAAATTATGCAACAGAAAGGCTGTGTGCGATAACTAATTTGCTTAATTTAAGCGAGATTAATCAAATTTAAGCCCGGGCGCCGTTTTAATTATCCCACCGTCGCGTTTATCCGCGAGGAGTGGGAGGAGGTGCGAGTCACGTGACGAAAATAAATCTTAATTTGGTATGAAAAATATTCGCGCTTATCGCCTCGCGTCGTATTTTTCGAAAAAAGAAATCTGTTGACTAAATTATATATTAAAGACTCTGAAAATATACACTTGATTAAGAACAAAATAAAACCTGTTAGAGTTGTGCATCGGATGATAGTGCGAATAAGTTTGAATGGTAGGATAATAACGTTTGACAGTATTAGTGGAAATTTTAAAGCAAGAGATTAATTACATAATAATTTAGATTTAAGGTCGATACGACGTGAAAAGTTTTATTCACTGCGTATGTTGTAAGACATATTCAATACTTGCGTCTAACGCTGTCAAACATTATTATTCTCTCATAATATACTATACTCATATACTCATATTTGTACTAACATCCAGCGCACAGCTCTTATAGGCTTTATCTTCCTCTTAATTTAGAATCTATTAATTCTCGCGAGCGCACAGGGGAGGCCAGGTCTAGATTGCAGGGATACGTTGCTCATTTAGTATTTGTTCTCATTTAGTATTTATTATGTTTTTTTAAAACATAGATACTTCTCCCTGAGTTTCATTAAAATTGGAATAATATTACAATTAAAAAATAGAAAAAACAGATTTAGTAGTAGGAAAGTATTTTGTAGCTTCTAGAAATTTTGTATTAATATTCTCTATTGTGAGTAAATAAAAAATTAGGTGATGTGTTACTGACTAGAATGGGGTTTTTTGCAAATGTATGATATATTTTTTCGAATAATATAAAAGCAATTCATAAAATAATTGATATATATATATATATATATATATATATATATATATATATTTTATTATTCATTTATATTTAATTATTCATAAAATAATTGAAATATAGACGGACGAAGTAAAGTTGGGCTATAATTAAGAGTCTGCAGAAGGATTGTGGAAATCTTTCGCGAAGATCCCGGAACTATTAATCAGGATATATCTATATACTAATTAAGATATATTTCATAGTGTATCCTTCTTACTCTGCGCTACTGGGCAACTGAATCTGGTACCAGGCCAAGATTGCTACATTATTGCATATTTGTATTTTGGTCATTGCAAAATATACAATTAACAGGATCGCGGCGAGCATTAACACATAGAAGAAGGCTGCCTCTATCATGTTTGTACAGTCAGTCATAACAATTAGTTGTCTGAGAGGTTGTAACTTTGAAATTCTGAAATATGGAGTACTTAGTCTCGACCTCCTTTTCTTTGATATTAATAGCGAAACACAATTCTGTCGCGCGTAATTTGGAAATTCAAAGAGAAGTGAGAGAATCACACTCAAAGAGATTATTTGTCAGTGTATAAAGAGAGAGAGAGAGAGAGAGAGAGAGAGAGAGAGAGAGAGAGAGAGAGAAAGAGAGAATGAGAGAAAGATAAAAAGGAAAAACAAAACGTTATCTTACGCAAATTTTTCAACACGCAACAATATCGAATAACGAGAATCGACAGTTCGCCCGCACGTTTTGCGACGCGTGCGACCTCGCATTAATTGATCGTGGCAACGACCATATTAATAGATCGGTAATCAAAGGCCGATATTGTTGAAATTCAAAGGACATATCGGAATTTTCATCGACAATAGAATCAGCGCGCTCGCTCGTACGGCCATCCATTGCGTTCGTACGTGCGCAACAATCAGTCTCCAATGCGAAATTAGCGTGTCAATATCATCTTTCGTCGCGGGCATTGTGCGGCGTCGCAATAGAGGCATGTTAATAGGCTGAGATAATGCAGCGCGCCCGTGATTGATGGCGGCGACGGCGGCACCGACGGCAACGGCAACACGAAGTGGCTACGAATAATGGTACTGGTGTATTATTCGCGCGCGAGTCTTAACATTATTTATTATTAAACGAAAACTTCACGAAAACTCGTTTATTCTTGCCTTCCCCCGATAACGCGCGACCCGATTGTGCGTTATTTACATCCTTCGCGAGAATGAGCCGTGATACTCTCGGGGTATCTCGAGAAGCATCCAGCCAACTAGAAAGTTTATCCCACGGTCTTGATCAGTTTGATCCCCATCGGTTATCTGATTTATATAAGGTTGTTATCGGGTCCTGATAAGTCATGCAACGTAGTGTGGCAATCAAAACCTTATTAATAATTACCTAAAACTACTAGGCTTTGCTCAAGTTATTACAAAGTATCAAGGGGATGAAATCAGGGGAAGGGGGTAGGGTAGAATCTAAGTTTCTCGTGTAACCTATATTTTCCGCAGGATCCTAGAGAGTAACTATGCAAACGTAAAGGACAAGGTTTTGAATCTTTTTCAGAGTATACGCAAGAAAAATCTAAAAATATCATAACATGAATATTGTTAACGATACAAAGACGCAGAAAAGTTACTCAGAACATATAAAAAATATTTCTAACTGCAACCTATTAAGGATCATTAATAAGTTTGCCACTCTGAATAGCAGCGAAGGTCTTCTGTGTTCGGGCTATTCTAAGAAGTGCACATTTTTCGAAATATCTTTGTTTAAAAATCACTAAAAATAAAATACTTGGCAATTTATTTTTCCCAAAAAGCTATGTAATTTTTAACTAAAAGGATAAAGAAAGTCTCATTAATTTTTAGAGATTTTTTTAGCACATTAAGGGAGTACGTAGGAGCGGAAAAATCAAGGAAAAAATTAATGTGTGATTCCGGTTATCACTCCAAAGGGATACACGGAAAAATTGTAGTAAAAATTACGACAAAATTTTTGTAACTTTGGATCATACAGAATTATAATCAAAATTACTATACATTTGTTTAAAAATATCATGCACATTTGATTTATATATTATATATTACAATATTTTCTTCGTATAAAGAAAATACGTTGTCACTTAGAGAAGGTTTATGATTATGGATGATAGGATCTTATTAATAATTAAAAACCGATAAAACGATATCACCTTATACAAACCAGATAATTGACTAGGATCAATCAGGACCATGGGATCAATTTCTAGTCGGGTAGCTTTATATCGTGGATTCTCAATGAAGTATCGCGAGTTACGCGCGTCGACCGTTTAATGAAAAATAAAAAAAGGAGAAAAAAAACAAACATGTGGGCCAGCAAAACGTCACGTGGGACTGCAATTATGAATGCCGTTTGATCGACCTGCTTTTGATACAAAATTTGTTATCCTAGCTTGACGAGATCGATGGATCGGAATTCCGCGTTTCCGAGGAGTTATGCCAATATTGCCCTTGGGATCGATATGAAGCATGCGAAAATGCTATGTGACGTCTGCACTGATTGATAGTATTTAATCTGACCAGGCGAGTTTTCAGCGAGTTAAAAAAAACAAAAAAAAAGTATAAATACGTATCCATCTAAAGGGAAAAGGAGAGAGAGAGAGAAAGTTTAGTTTGTAATTAATGAAGCATTCGAAACGCTTCTCCGCGAGCCTCCTTCCCTTTCCCGGTTAATATTTCCGGCGAACGATAAATCGTCATTCACGCTTCGACGGGCAGAGAGCGAAACGTTAGATATACAATTAGCACGTAATCGAGTATACAAAACCCGATGTCGGATAGTCTAAATAGCGTGAGAAATTCTTGAGCCCTAACGAGTCGCGTCCCTTGGGCGATATGCAGGTCGAGAATTTATTTCCGCTCGCGATTTATCGCGCTCGAGCGCATGCAGGGAGAACGAACGTATGTATGTGTATGTATGCATTCTCGATTATTCGCCACCGGCCACGGTTATTCGCCGCGGAAGCGAACGGCACGAGTAACGAGTTATTACAAGAAAATTGGACCAGAAATTATCCTGTCGCACTTCCGCGCTCTCTCTTAACGGCGCCATTTCATTCGAAGGATAAAAAGCAACAAGATGGAAGAGGCATTAAGCTATTTGCCGTAATCCTGTAGTTGTACTTGCCGATTAAAAGATGCCTCCCCTCCTCTCTCTCTATATACATCTATCTAACTCTATGCATCTCTATTGTAAAATTTGCAGAATTCTAGCATTACTATCATGTTAAATTTCAGCATTACTATCATGTTAAATTGCATGTCCTTGCTCTACTTGACTCTAGTTTTTCCTTCACTACAAACTCTATAAGGGATTATTTAATCCCAGAATATAAGTAAACTCTAATCTACTCCATCTATCTATTTTAGAGAAAGAGAAATAGATTAAGACCCGCTGCTCTCACAAAGATTTATGTATTCATTTTGTGAACATCCTAATTGACTTTTCAAGAGAGAGTTTGGATCTTTCGTGACGGACGCAAGAGATGTAAATCAAACCGCTCGATCGTCCTCGCGCTTAACAAGGATCTTACTTCTGACTTCGTTGCAGCTTTCATCAACCTCCTTATTTGAGACCGATTACTCATCGACATGTAAGAACGTAATATCGCTATCCGAACAGTCAACAGTGAAAACACCGGAGGCAGATAGGCCGTCGAACCAAGTGTTGGTGTTAGTGCAAATACCCGGCTCTCTGTCTATCCAGCGAACGAAAACGCGAAAGACTTTATTCAGTCCGATCTTCTCGGATAGCCTTTGCTTTTATTTGAAAGTATAATTTCTTGCAAAAGAAAGAACGAAGAAGTATCTAAGCGTAATTATTTTGTTTTCCCTTCGTGTCACACATGCTCCAGACTCCTGCCGAAATCGAGATCAAAGCGAGGCGTTAAAGTTCGGGGAAACGTTCGGCTGAGTAAGAAAATAATTCGCTGCTTTTTGCTCGAATTCACGCAAGCATAAAAAGATGATTGACGATTACCTCTGGGTGTTCTCGTATCCGGTAACGTCAACCAAAGAGGAAATAAGATTGGCGCGACCAAGATGTAAGTTAGCCTTTTTCTCGGACTGCTAGGCCAGCCCATGTCCAAGGCCTCTGGAGGTTCATCCTCTTCGCCCTGCAAATGAAAAACACATATATTGAGGAATAAATAAAGCTCCTCCGAAATCTTACAAGCGTCCCGTCGTCTTTCATTTGACTCCTTAAATTAACTTTAAATTGATCTTCCCGCGGGACACGTATATATTTACTTCAGTTTACCATAGACTTATAGAATAAATAGCGCATTCTTATGGGACGGTTGATGACAAGATTGAAGGATAGATGTATGTTAAGGCTTTCTCTATCACACAGTACTTTGGGATAAACAAAAGTGAAATTTAATGAAAGAAAAAACATATTGATTGCGTTCAACAGAAAAAGCTATTTTACAAATACTGTATTTTGTAACTGCTTCGTGAATCTGATTGGCGTATGCTCTTAGATTCAGCTAAGATTAAGAGCACACCCCAGTGAGAAAAAAATATTTGAAAATTTATTTGTAGGATATAAAGTTTATTTACCGAGAAATAAACTTAATATTTCACAGAAATAAACTTTTTTATTCCACAAATAAATTCTCAAGTATTTTTGTCAGTGCAATGAAATACACGAATTTTATAATAATTGCAAAGCAGCTTTCTAAACGTGGTCATTGATGATGTGATCGCTTCTCCTACTTCGTTCTCCACATCAACTAGACAATTAGACAAGGAAAGCATCTTTATTGGCCTCTTTACTAATACTGATTTCATCCCTCTTCTGCAGCAATGCGCAGTTTATTCTATATGTCTATAAAGCTGACCTTCAGAGACAAACTATACATTGCATTACGTGCCCAGAGACGAGCTGGACCATTTCGGCTTGTAAACAGTAAAACGTCTGGGAGACGTGATTCCAACCATAGACTTATACAGAGTATCGGACGTAACTCGCACATGCTCGTGCGCAGCTAGAATTCGTCAAACTGAACAAAAAAGTCCTCTACTATTTTGCAAAGAACTACGTAAAATTTTGAATTATTAATTAAAGAAGATTGATGAATAATAACGCGTAATCATATCTCAATATTTTTTAATTAATAACTAAAAATCTACGTGGTTACTTGCAAAATGGTAAAGGTTTTTTTGTTCAGTTCAATAAGTTTTATCTGCACACAAGATTTGAAGGACAGCACTATATTCCTCTTTCACCGTTTACAAGCATTCGATCTTTGTGTAGTTTTGTCCATCAAGTGAACTTCATTAAGAATCACGCTAGATAAAAATCAAAGGCTTGCATTGACAGGACGTCTTTTTCTGGTCAAGTCTTCACGGCCTTTTGTGGAATGCTTAGTCTACGATTCCAACGCGAGGAGTTAAAATCTCAAACCGACTGTGTGTCGGTCAAATGTACTCGATGCCGCTTAGACGGCCACGTTTGCGGCACGATTCCGCTGCACTAAAGAATGCGGAGGAAACATTTGCGCGCATTACCAAACGATGCAGCAGAGCTTAGAGGCAGGCACAAAGTCCCTTTCCATTATTCGGCCTCGAGCGACCGCGTCGCGATGCCACCGTATGCGTTTACATTTGCAAACTACCGATGTTTTCTCTTCACGTCTATCTCCTAGCAGGAAGTACACCCAACTGCTTGTAATTCAGACTGTTCTCTATGTTTTTGTATATAGTCCCGCTTACTTATTCAGGACTGCCGTTGATGCTAATCAACACAATGCCCATTTCCGAGGAAAAAAAGGAGACATCATCTAAACGAGATCAAGCTCGATGTTTACAAACAAACAAGCTATATATAAAAAACAAGATGAAATCATATTATCGTGAATAATTAAAGATGTATTGTTCATGTCTCAAAAAAATCTTGATAAAATGAGAAATTGACTATATTGCACTTTAAAAGTGACCACAATTTAACATTAATTCAGAGTCTAGATCAAAAGTTATTCCACTTTGAAGCCTAGCAAACACGATGACATCAAATTATGTTTTAATGACGCATCGATGATGTTTCTAACGTCAATAATACGCTACTAATACGTCATTTGACGTCATCTTGCTCTTGGAAGTATCTTATACTTTTGAAATACATTTGTCTATATTGTTGTTGTTGAATCTTATACTTGTGAAAATATATCTTATTATATAATCTTATTCTTTGTGAAAATATATAATGCTATATGTATAATATATGATTTGTGTTGCCATTTTTAGAGAAAAAAATAATTAAAAATTAATTATGAAAATTCCAATTTTTATACTTAAAGTATTCAAAATGATGTATGCAAAATTTCACTGTGTTGCAGAGATAAAAATTTAAGTCAGATATAGCATAAGATAAAGTAAATAAACTATAAAAATGTAATGTTAAATTACATTGTTATTCAGTTATATTCTACACATATTCACCATATGTTCTTATATTAGAATATTTTTCTCATTTTCAGTGATATTTTGCAGACATTATATAAGCAATACGTCCTTAATTGCGAGTTATTTGACGTTGGAGACAAATTAGCGTCGTGAACAAATCGAGAGTCCAACGAAATCCCGACGTTTCCATACTACGACGCGAAATCTACGCAAATGAGATTGAAAATCGGGACGTCGAGATATGACGAGTTCTGACTCGTTCGATTAATATCGTCAGAGACCATTTGTCTCGGATCTCGTCGCATTGTTGTAAAATCAAGGAGAACAAGGCTCACTGAACCGAGTCGTCCGGCAGGACAATCCCCGGGCGCGCTGTGTGCTGCGTCGTGTCGTGTCATCGCCGTCGCCGTCGTCGTCGTCGTCGTCGTCGTCGTCGTCGTCGTCGTCGTCGTCGTCGTTGTCGTCGTTGTCGGCGAGCCGTCAGCCGCAAATCCGGAAACTCGCGTGGAAAACCGGACGGTTGGTGACTTTGCTCCGATTATCCGTGGAAAGCGCTTGGCCGGCAAGCCGTGTGCGGTGGTGGTGGCAACGGCAGTGACGGGTGAGTACCGGCTGCAGCATTGACCCAGATTCCCGATGCATTCAAAATGAAAAGGCCTCCTTTTCGCTCATTTGGGACAAAGCCGGTTGCGAATCCCTCGCCTCGTCGGAGCGCGCGTCGCGATATCTCGAGCGCCGGCTAATATCCTCGCGAACTTCTAACGATCGGTCGATTTCCGATTTGTACCAGCGCCCGGGGTAGTTCCTTAAATCGGAACGACGATTACCCGCGCGGAGATTGTCGCAATTTCGATACTTATTGTGCGAGATTTCAATGCAAAAGACTTAAGAAGACTCGCTCTTCTGCTGCGGTCCCCTTCGTGCGACACTAAACGCCTGACTAAACGTCTAACTAAATAGCGTAAATACAAGTTAACACGCTGGATTTTCCTCAGCCAGAACTAGGGAGAAGAAAAGTGTCACACAATGTGATGCTCTCGACTCGATAACGTATTGACAGCTCTCGATCGGGTCTTCAATCGAGAAACGTTAATTAATTACCGTTCGTGTAAAAAGGAGGCATAAAAACATACATTAAAGTAGAAGAGACAAGCTTGGACATGTGCCTGATCTTGGACATCTTTATTTGGTCTTTAAATATGAATATTTAACTTTTTAACATAGAATATATATATTCAATATATATATATATATATATATATATATATATATATATATATATATATATATATATATTACATACAATATATATATACATAGATATATTTTTCATATTGAAGATATTTAAATATTCGTATTGAAGATATTTAAATATTCGTGTTTAAAGATTAGATAAGAAACAAGGGGATAAAAGCAATAAAAATTATCAAAACTAAGCATAATGAGTTGTAAATTAAGTTTTCACACTTTTTATCGAATGAAGTTGCAACCTTTCGACTTGTCAGAATTAAAAGCCACTGCTGACATGTATTCGCAATATATAAAAATTACTTCTAAAAATAGAATAAGTGAACCTATTTCGGAACAGCACCTATTTCGAAACATTTTAATTTTTTTCCTGTATTAGCCATCAAATAATATCAAATTTTCATGTCAGTAACAAAGAACATGTTCTTTGTTACTGACATGAAAATTTGATATTATTTGATGGCTAATACAGGAAAAAAATTAAAATGTTTCGAAATAGGTGCTGTTCCGAAATAGGTTCGCTTACTCTAATGTTTTCTTAATTTAACATAAAGTTTCTTTTCCAAATTTTACAAATATCACACTTTGTACCGTCATTTCAGCTCATGCCATAATCGATTATTGCGCACATATGTCAGTAGTGGCTTTCAAATTTAACAATTTCAAGTGTGGCAATTTTATTTGATGACAAGCAAGCAAACTGATTTGCAACCGACTACATAACTGTTCGAATATTTATACTTTTATCTTATAATCGTGCCTGAGACGAGTTAGAAGATTTTGGTTTACAAATAATATTCTGGAATTCATCTCATAGATCTCATCATGTTGATCCCAATCAACTATCTGGTTTGTATAAAATGTGATGTTATCGGGTAATAATTATACTAATAAGGCCCTAATTATTAATAATTTTTATTTTTAATAAGATTCTGGTTACATTATATAATTTATTAGAGCTCTATAACATCACTTAAAGAAAGAAGTTTGATTGTATTGACATAAAGGTTGGTCATAATGAACGAAACAACGCGTTTGTGCGTTTTTTGTTTGAAAAAAAACAAAATTTCTGGTTCTTAGAACTAAAGCTGGTTCAAAAGAAACCCATACAGAAATTCTGTGTCTTTCAACCGAAACGCATTGGTTCGTTCATTAATTTAACGCAACCAAATTTTTTTCGTGCACTTTATACAAACCGAATAACTGGTTAAAATTGTGCTGATTAGAATCGTGGAATAAATTTCTAGTTGGTTAAAACGCGTGAAATACGCGATTTCAATTATAAATTCGGAGATATAGACTGTTTTCTTATAATAGAAGACAAGATTTGAAGGCTATATTCTTCTTCCACTGTACACAAGTATTCGATCTTTGTCTAGTCAGTCAGTTCCAATAAGAAGCAAGCTAGTAAGCTAGACAAAGATCGAATCCTTGCGCTAACAGGACATCCTTCTCTGTAAAG